CAGAATGCATGCATCCCAAAGAGTGCAAAAAGTCATAGAGTTTATTTTGGAAGTGAGGGGGAGAGGGGGGTGGATGATGTTCTGAAAGAAAACGCTCTATTATTTCCTATGCAACGCGTCTCTTCTTTTATTCTCAGCAATATGCATGCATTTCAAAGAGTGCCAAAAGTCGGAGACTTTTTTTATGATAATGTTGAAAGAAAACGCTCGTGCAAAATAAATGTAACGTTTCTCTTCTCTTATTCGCAATGAATTTCAAAGAATAGGAGAAGTCATAGGTTTTTTTACATGATGCTGAATGAAAACTCTATTAGTTCTTTAAAATGAATTAATGTAACCGCTTCTTTCTTTCTTCCCCCAGCATGTATGCATTTCAAAGAATGCGAGAAGTCGGGGCCCACCTGACCACGAGTGAGAGCGTGTTGCTCGCTCTGGTCCAAGACGCTGCTCACCCAAAGTTCAAACAGATGCAGAAAGTGTTCTGGGACCCGGCCCCGGACAGTGGTCTGCTGAGTGGGTTACCTCAAGATGGGACTGCGGCCGCATAGACAGGCGTGGTACAAGGGGAGTCAAACTCAATTAATTTGTACCGGTAGCTGACAACAAATAAGTATGAAGTCGACAACAAATTAATTTGTCATAAGCTGGAATATGGTCGCTTTTAAAGACAAGCGGGCTAACCCAGATTTCAGGGTTTCCAAAAATCTTGACCTACACCAAGAGTGGGCATTGCCCTACTTATAGGAGAAGTTTGGTTTCATTGGTGTGTATATTTGTTTGATTATAGAGAAAACTCTCCTTGTCTTTTGAAGAAACTGAACAAGGGTCCCAAAACTTTTCCTTCGATTTTCTCGAAACTGCATTTTTCGGGATAGCCCCCATGTGCTTAAGCGACCATATTAGAGCTGAAACATAACAACATTCAGATCTAGCTAGACAAGTCGTACTAAATCTTGATTCGAATGAGCGCACTTTTCGAAAATCTATTGATAAGCAGCCAAACTCAGATGACACTTTTTAAAAAAATAACAATAAGAAGAAAAACAGACAAAAATGAAAATAATAACACTTATCAAGGCTTACCAATTTTCTCACTTGCATAGAGTTTGCTTTGGAGTGGGGATTTGCGCTATGCAAAAGCTGTTTATCATTTTTATCATTTGAACTGGATGTTAGGCATACTTTCTTAACAAAATGTATGGGATAGAACATATAAATGCAATCTTCTATTATTATTATTATTATTATTATTATTATTATTATTATTATTATTATTATTATTATTATTATTATTATTATTATTATTATTATTTATGTTCGGCATAAAGTTTTGTATGGAGAACTTCAAGATGGACTGCCTAGTATCCCCAAATCAAGCATCGGACAAAGTTCCTTGATTTGAGAAGCAAAACGATAGGCTATACCTTTGGATTTACAAACCCTCTGTTACATTTCATTGGTTTGTTTTATCTGTTTCTATGTCAATCAAAAGAGAAAGATATGAGTAAGAAAAATGTAAATTATTAAACGTCTTATTTTGCGAGGTACGTCTTTCATCAGTTTAGCAAGGGGAATTCTTGTCCATGATTCACTCAAAGTTTTGTGTCACTGAACTGACAATTATATACTCCGTTTGGCGGAGGTGAGAAGATATTGCAATATAATATTCATTCAAGTATTATCCTGAGTGTAAAGAACAAATTCTCAAAAATAAAATAATGATCATCATAACATACATACATGATTCTAATTTGCATGTGTGTATTCAAATCGTATCAGTCCAGAGAAACATAACTGCAACCTCACTGGGGACTGGGACTCACCAGCTTAAGCACTTTGAAATATTGAGGGCTCCAACTTTACATAAGCCTACCTTTCTTTACTCTAAGCCTACCTTTCTCTCCATACAAAGTGCAAAACAGAGTATTGTAACTACATATTATACTAATCAACGCATATCATTGATGTGAATGTGTTGATTTGCATATATATTATAGGCAACTAAATATTATGCGCCCTAAAAATTGCAATGCACCACGGTAGAATTCTACGTAGCCTGTCTGCTTGCGCTTTCACACCAGCGTCTATGGAGTAGCGGTTAGGCTCTTTGCTGTCTTGTGGAGAAGGTGTGAGGATGTTTTCTTCTTTTTTTTAAAAATCGAGTGCGTGTTTCTTCTTTAAGTTTTAGTAGGGGTTTTATGGGGCTCGCAACTGCATACGGTAATATGAGCGCCAAGGGGTGGATGTCAACAGAGAAGTCCTTACAGGGAATCAGACTTACTCTGCTCACCTCTCTAGCTTCAACAGCACACAATCTGCTTCGACTGTCAAGGCACCCCGGAAATAGCGGGTCACAAGAGTGGGACAAACATACAAAAGACGTAGAGGGAAAATGACGATAGTAAGGATTAGGAAAGAAAAAGCAGCAGTTCCCTGTTGTAGTTCAGCCACAGTTATGAGCATGACATTGTTGGATCAGCCCATGTACAATTCTACTGTGCTTTAGAACGAGGATTATCCCCCCTTTGGGAAAGGCCTAAAGACACTTCAGTCAGTGGCACCGCCCCGGGTGGGGGGTCTCCGTTTGTCTGCAGGGATGTTGTGTCCAAATCCCTCTCAATCTGGGCTGACCCTGGCAGACAAAGACGATCCAGCCTGTTTCATAAATTGTTTGTTTAGTTTTAGTAGGGGGTTTTCGGCGCTCGCAACTGCATAAGGTCATATTAAAATGAGCGCCAGAAGATTAAAGGTGTAACAAGAGAGTATCAAACATAAAAAATAAGAAGGGGAGATAAGGACGATAGACATTTGATAGGAAAGAAGAAGCAAACCACACCAGAGCACCCACAAACCACCCACCTCATAAATTGGCGGAGTAATTTTTTTATATTTGTAATGTACAAGTAGAAAAAGAGAAAATGGCCGAGCAGGGTGCAGCTACTGCACTTGTCAAGCACTTGTCAAAGAACATTATTCATGTGAATGTGTTTATTTGTCGATTTTGGCATGTAAACATAATTTGCATATAAAACTGTTTATTCATCAACGGGAGGTCACGAGTGTGACATGTAATGTATATCTACTCACTCTTCCGCAACCAATATTGTTGGACATTCGACGGTATTGACATAGTAATTGCCACCAATGTCCAAGTTCAACATCTATATACTTTTCTTTTCTTCATGTCTGAATTCAAATGAAATTGGCACTGATATATCTCAATAACAAAAAGGGAGAAAATTCTTCACTTGATATTGCGTGTAGCATTGGACACATCTTGTTGTGTATTAACGAGTCTTGAATGTCGCTCAAACATAGGACAATAAACTACTCTGGGAGTTCTTTGATCATGATATTATTCTTATATTCTATCGTTGTTGTTTTTTAAACCCTATCCGTATGTCGTGTTTTACTATCGTATCCATACGACGTGGGGAACTCTGTGCCACCACTTTCCAAGAGGAAATTTACTCGTTAATCCGATCCTTACGCTTTGCATAGCAGTCTGTCAAAATGATTTTTTGAGAAATACTGAAAGTTTCAAAGAGAACTTCGCTCTAGGAGTATTCTAAAATGTGAAGAATACAACCCCGGGGGTACAAAATTACCCCAGGGCCTACGGATAGGGTTAAAGAGCATGACTGGCACATGGTCACTATCACAACTCTAGAACATCCCCATTCGAGACTCAAACTCACGTCTCCCCCTTGCAACAGTGAAGAGCGCAGGCCTAACCGTTAGCCTACACAAAAGACACCAGTTTCAATGCGTCGTCTGCCTCTGTCCAAATCTCCCAGCCGGCCTCTGATGACGTAGACAGTTTGTCTCGCCCGGAAGTGAGGATCAGCTCACACCGTCTCTGCTTCCGCTGAAGGTTGAAGGCCACACAGGTCTCGGTGCGTGAGCACACCGCCGCGCACGACACAGGGGTGGACAAGGCAGGACCTGTGTGTGTGTGGGGGGGTGGGGGGGGGGGGGGATGAGCAGGTTTTATACAGCTGTAAATTTCAAAGTTTTTGTTGTTGTTTTGTTTGCTTGTTTGTTTTTTTGTTTGGTCGGTTGGTTGTTTGATAGATTGTTTGTTTGTTTGTATGTTTGTTTGTTTATTTGTGTGTTTGCTTTTTTGGGGTAAAAGTAAGACAGACAGACAGAAACAACAGAGGGAAAGTGAAGAAGTAGGACCTACCAGCGGCGCCCTCCAACCACCCGAAATATGCAAAGCTCGTAACTGTTTAAAAGCGGTCATGAGCAAACTGCGGCCCGAGGGAAAGACTCAGACAACGTGCAGTACTAGTCTGCCCCGCAAGTCGACGCAGTAATTGATAAAGAATGTTGCCAGCGGTGAAAGGATAGTTATGCTTTTGTAATTGATTTTTTAATATTATTATTATGTTGTATTATTCCGCTTGGAAATTAAAAGTAAGCCTAGTTGTTTCCGGCCCAGATTGAATCTATAGATCTTATCTCATGAAATGCTCTTGAGTGAAACAACTTCTTGGTTTTTGCATGTGAGTCTGCTCAGTGTAATTATCTCACATCTTGCACAGTGAGAAAGATTTTTTTTTGTTTTAGTAAGACTTTTCGGCACCTGCAACACAATAAGGTCAAGGTCATATAAGTACCGAAGATTAGAATTAGAGGTGTTGCAATAGAGTAACAAGCACAAAGAAGAAGGAGAGATCAGGACAATAGGTCTTTGATAGAAGAGAAGGAGCAAACCACACCAGAGCACCCACAAACCACCCACCTCATAAATTGGCGGAGTAATTTTTTTATATTTGTAATGTACAAGTAGAAAAAGAGAAAATGGCCGAGCAGGGTGCAGCTACTGCACTTGTCAAGCACTTGTCAAAGAACATTATTCATGTGGATGTGTTTATTTGTCGATTTTGGCATTTAAACATAATTTGCATATAAAACTGTATATTCCTCAACGGGAGGTCACGAGTGTGACATGTAATGTATATCTACTCACTCTTCCGCAACCAATATTGTTGGACATTCGACAGTATTGACTTAGTAATTGCCACCAATGTCCAAGTTCAACATCTATATACTTTTCTTTTCTTCATGTCTGAATTCAAATGAAATTGGCACCGATATATCTCAATAACAAAAAGGGAGAAAATTCTTCACTTGATATTGCGTGTAGCATTGGACACATCTTGCTGTGCATTAACGAGTCTTGAATGTCGCTCAAACATAGGACAAGAAACTACTCTGGGAGTTCTTTGATCATGATATTATTCTTATATTCTATTGTTGTTGTTTTTTTAACCCTATCCGTACGTCGTGTTTTAGTTTCGTATCCATACGACGTGGGGAACTTTGTGCCACCACTTTCCAAGAGGAAATTTACTCGTTAATCCGATCCTTACGCTTTGCATAGCAGTCTGTCAAAATGATTTTTTGAGAAATACTGAAAGTTTCAAAGAGATCTTCGCTCTAGGAGTATTCTAAAATGTGAAGAATACAACCCCGGGGGTACAAAATGACCCCAGGGCCTACGGATAGGGTTAAAGAGCATGACTGGCACATGGTCACTATCACAACTCTAGAACATCCCCATTCGAGACTCGAACTCACGTCTCCCCCTTGCAACAGTGAAGAGCGCAGGCCTAACCGTTAGCCTACACAAAAGACACCAGTTTCAATGCGTCCTCTGCCTCTGTCCAAATCTCCCAGCCGGCCTCTGATGACGTAGACAGTTTG